TAATAGTTTTATCAAGAAAATTTCAGAGCTTTACACATGTTCGAAAATTTAAGTTCTGAACCTACAGGCCTATTGCTCTTGCTCAAAGGCGCCACTAGATTTGAACTATGGGGAAGGGGGGGGGGGGGCTACAGCCCGGTGTACATTATAAAGCCCATTCCAAAAGACCATCCAATTTTTATATCTCTTTCCCTTTCAATTCCCATTCTACTATCTTGAAAATATTCTGAATTCTGAGCATCACATTCACATTATTAATTAAGACATTACCAAATGTAAATTGATCAAATTATTTTGTTCGAGATTTTGTTATTTTTAACTATTATAAAAAATACAAGAAGTAAATTTGGTTAATGTTACTACATCAGGCGTAAAGGTATTTTTCTAGTTTTTTTTTGCAAATTTATTAACAATTTGTTCGGAATCGACGGAAACATCTCTTTCTATATAAGAGAAATATTAGAGAAACGGTCTTGAGCCATTATTGTTCTTAACCAGCTCATAACTTTTCGCATAGCCGAAAATGGCCTTTCGCAGATTGCTGAAGAAAATGGCAATATGATTGCAGCTTGAGAGATGGCTCATTAGTTCACTACCACCGACCGACGCCTACAATCTTCCGTTCCCATCGATATATAAACTTGTCTATCAGCCGTGGCACTGCCCGGGAATAAGGGCTGAAAGTGGCGAACTGAACCACAGGGAAAACTTTTGGGACTGTTACTTTTTCAAGAAAAGAAAAAGTCCTCTGACTCAAGAGCAACCACTTCCATCAAGGTCCGCACGAAGAGAGACGATGTCGAGCATGTGATATCATATATAGCGATCAGGCCTACAGTTAAAGGAGGCTTACATCACTTACGAGCTCGATCCGTATCCAATTGCCATATTTTGCGACGAAGGGCTGCGTAAAGGCACAAAACCTACTTTTTACGCTGCCTTCACTTGAGTCACAGAAAACCTCAGTGCTAGCAAACACATTTGTTATCGATGGAGGGTATGTCATCCATAAAGTCGTATGACATCGTAATGATTCAGTACAGGCTATAATCACACCGAACTACATAAGCTATTTATTTAACCACTTTGTGGACAACGACCTATTGAACGCTTTTTCTCAAAACATTCATTAAATTTGGAAGAAATTCAAAATTGTCAACTGTAATTCGAGAAATTCAAACTGTCAGTATTTACGAAAAGCTGTATATTCCAAATTTCTTATAGGTTCAGCAAGATTCCTTCAGGAGTACCTACAAGCCAATATTTTAGAAGCATGGCGACCGGAATTTTGTAAAATTTTACTTTTTTCGATATCTTTTATGGTAAAGGAATTAAGATCGGATGGCTCTTAGATGCTACACCCTGTATATCTAAAAATCTGTTCGATAATTGACCATGTATGTTGCTTATCCATAATAAATGCAGTTGTTTTTGAAATTTTGCGAACAATCTTCTTGAGGTAAGTACCTACCTATAAAATTGCTAGGTATCAAATTGAAAGGATTAGGTATATACCCGAAAACCGGGGACCTAAAGGTGTCATCGCAAGAGGAAATCAAGAACATAATTAGGTAATCATCACAGATAATCTGTGGAAGCGCTCAAACTTTAGGTGTTTAGGTGCTGCTTTTTGGCTGAAGGTGTCTTAATCTTTTCAAATTTTTTGACATTATCATTTATTTCAATAGACTACTTAAATTGGTCTTAGATATTTACTTAATTAATAAGTAGGTTGTTAATAAAGTGTGCTTACCCTGTTCTAATGAGGAGAAGTATAGGTTAAAATGAAGTAAGTTAATGCACTTGTAGCTAAACATTAAAATTTTTATACCTTGCTTTGGTGATGTTTAGAGAAGGTATTTTATATTTCGGGGTAGGTACCTACATAAACCATAGAGTAAAAACATTTATAATGATAAGACGTAAACTGCGGGAAAATCGATGAATTATCTTAAAAGGAGACGTACGTCATTTTAATTGATCAGACCGTAAATTAAAGCACTGAGTACTAAACTGATCAATATGGATGTTTTAAAAGGGTAGCGAAACTGTTCGAATATAGCATAGAGTTTTTACTCTATTGAATATATTGGTAGGTATAAAAACAAATTTTTGTTAAGGTATGAAGTTTGAATTTGAAATGTGAAACACTACCTAAACATTTTCCCAAAAAAAATTTGTAAATTTTAATCCTTTCAACCAAGTATAGGTAGGGTATTTGTTCTTTTTGAAAAATCAAGACTAAATGAAAAATATCCAGACAAGAAGAACAGATTCTAAGTTCTGAACCTATAGGTCTTTAAAACTTTTAGATCATTGACAAAAGTTGCAAATTCAGTCATGATGAAAAACTAAAGCGTAATCTTGGGGTAGGTATAGAAAAATTTTTATAAAAACGGGTTACACCCATAAACTTACAAAGGAAAACATTATGCTATACATCTTTATAATTGTATAATTTTTGGTACCTATACTTACGCGCCGCATCGTTCAATTAGTTCTCTACTACCTAATTCTTCGCATATACATATACTTAGTAATTGCGCGTTCATTGTTTCAAATTGTTTGTGCCATGTAGGTACTCTCTCAGATCGACCCGGAAAAAAATTTTTCTTATAGAATGTGGCCTGTAGAATCCATAATTTTAAACAGTTCCAAGATTGGGCTACTAGTTCAAAAGTTACAGCCCTTTGAATTTTCTTTCGAAATTGGTTTCTAGTCTATAACTTTTGATTGAGAAGTCTGATCGAAAAAGTACGAATTGTTTTGGATTCTACGCACCAAAATTAATAAGAAAAGTGTTTTCCCGAGAAATTTTGGTGTAGTCGATTTTTGGTAAAAAAGGAAGGTTATACACTGCCTTTTTTTGAGCCCCGAAAAAAAAATTCTCAGATCGACCCGGAAAAAAAAAATTTTCTTATAGAATGTGGCCTGTAGAATCCATAATTTCAAACAGTTCCAAGATTGGGCTACTAGTTCAAAAGTTACAGCCCCTTGAATTTTTTTCGAAATTGGTCTCTAGTCTATAACTTTTGATTGAGAAGTCTGATCGAAAAAGTACGAATTGTTTTGGATTCTACGCACCAAAATTAATAAGAAAAAGTGTTTTCCCCAGAAATTTTGGTGCAGTCGATTTTTGGCAAAAAAGGAAGTGTATACACTGCCTTTTTTTGAGGCCCGAAGAAAAAATTGTCTCAGATCGACCCGGAAAAAAAATTTTCTTATAGACTGTGGCCTGTAGACTCCATAATTTCAAACAGTTCCAAGATTGGGCTACTAGTTCAAAAGTTACAGCCCTTTGAATTTTCTTTCGAAATTGGTTTTCTAAGTCTATAACTTTTGATTGAGAAGTCTGATCGAAAAAGTACGGATTGTTTTGGATTCTACGCACCAAAATTAATAAGAAAAAGTCTTTTCCCCAGAAATTTTGGTGCAGTCGATTTTTGGAAAAAAGGAAGTGTATACACTGCCTTTTTTTGAGGCCCGAAAAAAAATTGTCTCAGATCGACCCGGAAAAAACATTTTCTTATAGAATTTGGCCCGTAGAATCCATAATTTCAAACAGTTCCAAGATTGGGTACCCCTGAAAATATGGTATCGCTTTTCAAACTTCTTTGATCTCTTAGGTATACTTACTATACATATATAGATACGGTACTAAACTGTACAATGTGTAATTGCCAAATGCCTGAAAACAACGTGTTACCTTCTGCCCTGGTTACTGTGGCGAGAAAGAACAAGAGTCCATGAAATATGATACCTAGTTCTTAAAATTTTCTCTTGCATAGAATCTGGAGTTATATAGGTACCTACCACTATTACCTTGAATTTTCATTTGGGGGGCAATGCAGATGTGCGAACTTTTAAAATTCGACTGCATATGATGTGAAAATTTTGTCAGAAAGGTGGCCCTTCCAGGGTTGCGTACTACTCAAAGTTTACATTTCTTAACCAATCGATACCTTCAGCCATGCCGATTGCATAGTTGAAAATGTTGCGAATTTTGCAAACACCCTCCTTTTGAAGTAAAAAATGGAATGATAGGTGTTCGAAAACCTCGTAATGATACAAGATTCAACAATTAAAATTAAGAAAAAAACACAACTTTTGAGCCATTTAGGATGTAACTCTCATAACGAGACATTTTGGATCCTTTGTTCATTTAATTAATTAAGAAAGCGCTCTCAGACTTGAATGGTGCACTGTGCACACCTTGATTTTTTCAAACCAAATCCTATTTTAATATAATTTTATAGCTGATCTTAAATTTCAAGTTGCGGTTTTTTCAAATTGCTTCTACCTTTCGAAATAATTTTACCTGATTATTGGTTTTAGTCATTATATAAGAAGTAGGCTACAGTTAATATAATTTACCTACCCTGATGTAAAGAGAATAAGTAAGGGTGGATGAATATTAAAATTTTATAATTTCGTTTGGCGACGTATAAAATCTGAAGTCACAGCGTTAGATTTTTATTTCGGGGAAAAGTAGGTATTTTATCTTGGGGTGTATAAAACGTGATGTTATGAACGTACGTACCGCTTGAGAAAATCGATGAATTGTCTTAAGAGTGGAACTTTATTTTAATTAATCGGAGCGCATGTTAAAGCACTAGTGTTAAAATGATCAATATGGGTGGTTTTTAAAAAGGGTGGCAATATATTAGACTGAATATTGGGAAGGTAAAGGTTTACGTTCAGGAAGTATTTTTATGGAAGAGATGGAGTATAAAAACAATGTTTGACGATAAAGACGGGTGCTGTTTGACCGCATACCCGGAATATACGTTGAAGTAGGTGATAACATGACGCATGGCATCCGTGGTGTATTGGCTACTTGTTGATGCGTTTGCGGGGGCGGACCTCTAAACGAATGGCCTCGCGGCGTAAAGTGAGCGTAGGTGCGCTATCCGCCGCTGCGTATCCGCAACCAACCAGCCGGTTCGGGTTTCTTGGAATCCGCCCATTCAGGGGTTTTAAGTTCTTCAGCGAAAGAAGGTAAACCACGCGACTTCGACAGTTCATAGTGTTCTTGTGCACGCGGGTGCTTGTTGTGAATGCTGTCATGTTGCCTTATCAGGCGGTGGCTATGGACTACGCGGTGACGTCCAGCTTCCAAAGGCAAACACCTATAGGACTTGGTGTCAACATCAACCCGGCTTTCACGCACTCCTGGTTCGTACCGGCGGATCTGTGTGTCCCCTACAAAAAGACTCCTCTCCTCGAACCAGGGCATGTTACTTATTTGTCTCTGCTTACTGTGGTGTTGCTGTCATGAATCCGTTTAGCGATTAATCCTGAAGGGTTTCAAAATGTATCATAGCATGTTACTCATATTCGTTATGCATGTCAATAATTCAGCTTCATTTTACTCATTTTCCTATTGCTAATATCATCAACGAGAATAAGTGACGATTCCTAGTGCTATACGTGAATATCTAAATGTATCTGATTATGATTCGCATTGTCGCAGAAATTTCACTGTAACAATTTGCAATTTTTAACCATAAATGAATTACACGTACACGAATAATCTTGGAACAAAGCTGAAATCCCGAACTAGCCAGGTTTGTTCGAATGTTGGTTGCTAAATAAGTTTTCGCGAATGGGGCACCAATAATAGTTGAAACTAGCACTGTAAAAGCTTTAACTGTTTATTGTAAAATAGCTACACCGTGTATATAAGGGTAAATGTCGAACGCCATCAAAATCTCAGGTTTATTACCTTTTTACGACATACCATGAACGTGTAAGTGGGAACGTAAGGGAGACGAGGATTTGTAGAAATCCAAACAGTAAATTTTCAAGTTCTTAACACACTAGAAATTAATACCTATAAACGTACATGGCGTTCAGCATTTCAAATTAAAAAGAATGTGTAGGTATAGCTTTCGTGCAGGGTGTGCTTTGACAGAAGGAGTGCTTACAATATACGAATTTTGGGTTTGCGTATAAAATTTCTCTATTCATTTTGGGCACTTATTCATTCCTCAAATAACAATTTTTTCCATCTTCGTTATTGTAGTCAACTTTCCGGGCTAGCACCATCATCGCGTCGTCCCATCATCACCTCAAAAAGTAAGCACTAAGTGGCCATACCGAAGTCCTGCAGCTAGCACCCTAATAATTTCATCTTAAAGAGTATAGGTTCACTCCATAATATCATGCGTGCATAGAGGAACCATTATTTTGTAACGAAGCCCTTGAGCTTTTGACGCCAACACCCACAATTTCCAAGAGTAAACTAAATGCGTCAATTTTCCCTAGCACCACACTTCCGTTTAGTATCTATATATGCCAAAAATATGGGTTGGAGGTATTTCTAAATAAAAGTGAGCTACATCCCAAAAAGTGTCTTCCGCTTGTTTTTTAATTTTTTGTGTCATATTTGAGTGCCGTTTTTACCCAGATTTTAGGAGAGATAGGTACACTTTTTCTAATTTCGTAAAAATGTTCTTAAAATTTCCACCGGAAGATCGACGTCTGAGGGGGGTTCAAAAAATTCTGATTTATAGACGAAATTTCATTTCTTGCACCATGAAAATTCAGAATACAAAATTAGGTAGTGTTTAAAAACCGGACAACAAACAATGGACACACTGTATTTACTAAAAAAATGGTATACTGTGCATTTTATTGTGGAAAGGCGCTCGCCCTTCCTGAAATAACGGCTTTGTACTTAGCTTTTCGTGTGCGCCCTTTTCCAGTTTCTGGACATTTTCTACTCCAAAATAGCACACCTCTAAACGGGGGCGCGAAACGGAAATTGTGATATCGGCCAGTCATAATAAAAAACAATGTACCCAAATTCGTTTTGCAAATGACCAAAAAAATAATCAACCTGCAATTGTTAGAGATGGCCAGAATGGCATTTTAAGTACAGACTGCAAAAGAATTCCATTTCATCGATATCGCAATGTTTATTTTCCGCACCCCGACGTTTAGTGATGCGCCACATTGGGTTGGAAAGTGTGTATCCATCAAAAACTTCTCTGTAGTATGGTTACAGAGAAAAAACCTCTAGGTACCATATCCAATTTGGTTAGGTTCAAATAAATTAAATCTGACTTGCAGATAGAAGTTTAATTTTCAAAATTGGCAACCGCCTAAAATTACGTGCCATCTTTATAAACCCCAATACACCCTGCATAGGTATTTCTTTTCAGAACAAGCTAAAGTCGAGGCTGAAGTATTGAGAAGGAAGGCATCACCATTTTGCATTTTTTTGCGGTGAAATTATACTATAACCTAGAACAATTCGTTGGTTTTTGTAGAATTTCTTGGTAGAAAGATGTTAAAAGTTTCAGAACCCAATGCCGGCCCAAATATCAGTGTATATTGATATTCACAGGACATAGACGAGCAACTATACAATTTGGGGGGGGGGGGCTTTATATCGTCCAAAAAAAGAAAAGCTCACAATTCGTTCTTTAATGTTACAAAAAAATCCAATTGCAATTCTTGCTTATACAAAAAACAACAAAAAATGGCTCTAGGCGCTTGCATTCCTTCAAAAATAAAGATTTTTGTAATTTAATGCTCCAAAATGCCGAGATCAGTGTTTTTTTTTTGCATCCTTCGTCTAGGAGTTTATTTGAGATTCTGCCACTAATTTTTTTTAGAAACGTATTCGTTGCACTTAGGTCGTACATTGATTTATCTTAAAAAATACATCTACAGTGCTGGGTACATTGGGATAAATTTGAAGCCACAGCTCAATTTCACATTTTTCTGATCTGTTTTAAAAGAAAACTCTTTGACAATAATATACAACTTATTTTCTTCTTATGGCCGCCGCATCTTTGGATTGTTAACATATAACTAAAATTACATACCACAAAGTATGATGTTCTATACTATACCTTTTTTTGACTAAAATACCTAATTACTATATATTGGGAACCAAAAGGCGACCGATGAACAAGATAGTTTTTTTGTAAAATAAAAATTTGAAACACTCGAAATTTGCTTGTCTAATGCTTATGAAAACTGAAAGAGTTTGCCCTATTTTACCCAGCATCCCAGCTTTTTAAGACAACCATGATCCCCATGGTGAATCGCGAAACATGCGGCCATACCTATGAGACAGTTCTATAAGTGCAGTTGACTTTTTCCTTAACTCGGCGCTGAACCTTCGAATGCAGTAGAATTTGCATTTAACGTTTAGGACAGGAGGGCTATGGTGCTAGCATTAGCATTGCACCACAAAATCTACAAGGGCGCTACAAAACTTGAAAGTGGTGCTAGACATAGAGCTTCTAATGTATTCTTTTTGGAACTGTAGAATGGTGTAGTGCTAAGTTAACGTCTCCAATTTTTCGTATTGGTAATGCCTCCTTGTTATACTTATGCCTTTTGTTTTTGTAACGGTCTGATCTAACAATATTGAATACTTGTTCATCTTGCTCATCAAACCTTTCAGTAACCCATAGGATGTACCTATGGTTGAGGAACTAATATGTGGTTTGGATGGAATTAACAAACTTACGATATGACCATGACTAAGAACACTGATGGCTGTTATGTGACATTTCTTATAACCGGGTAAACTAAAGTTCCACTAAAAAAAATGCTAAAACTTCATACTTATACACCGTGCATGTATACTTCAGGCATGCTTAAAACAACTATATATCTGTTCGTTTCCCAATTTTGCATCCTGCCTCTTTGCCAACCTTAAAAATCCATAATATCCGATTATTTCAGGAATTTTGTACAACACAACATCATGAGGCAAGACGGAGAAAATAACACACTTTTGTCTTGTCCGTAAGTTTTTGTATTCTACCTATATAAGATGCTTATGTTGACTACAATTTACTGCAAACTGACAAATTGGAGATCTTTGCATTACAAAAACAATGTCTTGGACGCAAATTTTTAGTTAACCCAATGTAATAAGCAGATCTGAAACACTGCGAATCATAAATCAATAGAGTCGTTCAAAATTAAAGAATGACTGAGTTCAACCAAGGACTTAAAATTCGATTATATACCCGTCCTGGGTAACAGAATAACAATTTATTAAGAGTGTGCGTATTGTTTGCGGTCTGAAAGTACTAGACCTGTCAAGTTAAGTTGATACTCCAGCCTGACATAGGGCTCGAAGGCACCATTTTTGAACACATTTGTAATGGTCGTTAGTTTTGGACCAATATTATGGCTATCTCTTCCAAAATTTTAAAATCGCATCTACACTACACACCTCAACTCTGGTCATAAGCCGTTGATGGATTCCCAGCCCACCCCCCTCTCTCTCCCCAATAACACACCATACGCTGGCGTGTCTGATTAGAAAGCGATGGGCAATAATATTATCAAATTGGCTAGAAATTTTTTAACCAATCCATTGCTGCAGTTGTCAATGCATCAATCTCTCCACAGCCACCATTGAACTTATATGTTCAGGTCATTCATCCACTATATGATTAATTGTCTCGGCTCGGGGGTATCAATGCATTGAGAACAATTTGGTAATTCTATACGGATTTTCATTTGAGCAACGTTGCATTACAGCGATTATGTCCAGTAAAATCTCGATTTTAGTCGTATGTTGAAGGATTTTGGAGATCTTAACATATAGGAAATTTACTACGCTTTTATACCATTTGTCTTCTTATTCTTGGCGGGGTTATATGAGATATACTACCTAGTGATAACCAAGGAGTTGGCGTATAGAATTTAATGTTCCTGATTCCTCATGGTACCTATTATTTAGTTTAGCACCAATTTTACTTGCGTGACTACTACTCATCTAAACCAGATAATATTCAGCAGCAGAAAATACCAAAGCAATACTCGAAATACGAAAAGTATTAGCATTTGTACTCCAATCGGAGTAGGCAAGTTTTTGAAGTATACCTATTATTACCGATCTTTAACTCCATGCGCATTTTTGCAATGCGAATTTTATATGGTAAATATGCGTCCAAGGAAATTCCTAAGTAAACAGCATTATAGTTATGTTATAATCGCTCGGAATTCATTATAATGAAAAGTTTTCTGTCAATTTCCTTATTACAAAGATAATATATGCTAAAGATCGATTATGGATTTGCAGTTTAGTGATGTGCCAAAGGACTAAGGATCTAAAACGGAATAAATCCATGCAATTGCAGTAGTGGAGCTTTATACAATCAGGATTGATCAAATCCAAGTTTAGAAAAAGATATTCCGACATCACCCAATATTTTAAGATGGACATAAATGTTCAAGAATCCCATTTCAACTATTTTTAACGAAATTGAGCGTATATGAACATTCTTAACGTAGTTTAAGGGATGCTGAGAGTAGATTTATAAAAAATTTCCACACAGTCCATGCAAACACAAATGAAATACATTTCCTTTGGTCGAGGTCATTATTTTAAAAAATCAAACACACAATATGACTGGATCATTTTTTAAGGGAGATTTTAAAAATGTTGATGGTAGACCCCATTGTAGATGCAAAGGTTTTCAAAAAATCAAATGCGTTCATTTTGAGAACAGAGTCGAAAGAGGACATTTACAAAGGAAACGTAGTATACGCATTGATGATATGTATCCGTCAAAATACGAAACTGGCTGAAAATTTTCAAAATCGGCCCATAACTCAAAAAAGAAGCTGACCGCGAAAGGCTTTGATGCCTCATAAGTTTTACAATACAGTAGCAGAGGTTCGCAAAAACCTTGATAACAGCGTACAAACCCCTGATTCCCAATAAAATTTAGACACCACATCCAAGAAACAACTAGCATTTCTGATCTCCAAAAGTATATGGTATTAAGTCCGCTATACATACTTACAATGAAACGAAAGCACAGATCAAATGAATTTTTTTCGTGTTCGAAAGAGACCTCGTAGGAAAGCTCAAGTGTGATCTGGTTTAAGTTTCGTCTGTAGAGGATATTGTTCTTTTGCCTTAATCCTATTGTTTCTACTGTTGGGGTTGTTGTATAAATATGGTTAAAAAATGGGAAGGGGAGGGGAGGTTAGAGGAAAGAGTTTTCTCCGGGACCAAATACTTTTGGGGCTCAACCCCTTATGTCAATGCGGCAATGACATTCGTAACGTATACAGGGTGTCCCAGGAGGAATGGGAAATATTAATATAATAACTAGAGATTATTTGAAGACAACAACGGGAATAAACGATATTTTTATTTTCAACCGTTTCGAAGATGTAGCCAAACTACCCTGCACCTAGTTTTAATAAGGCGGTTATAAATCAATTGTCTCTAGCCATAGTCAGCATGGGGTAGCAATTGAGTTGTTTTGAATCAAAGTTTCAAAAATTCGACCTTGCACGTGATGCACTATCAGCTCCCTTCTTCTTAAATTGTACGTAATTTTAATTAACTTGTACAATGATGCACTGTTTATGGATACTCAATTGTTACTCCAAGCTAACTATACAAAACAACTAGGTATAACAAAATTATACCGGTACTGCTTTTTAATCGCCGAATTTTTTCGTTTTCGAGACAAGAAGACTAAGATTGTAACAGTTTATTAAAGAGATTCCAAGAAAGATTCTAAAAAAGGTTCTATGGAGGTCATAAAAAGCTTATATGAACATTAAAACAAGGTTCTAAAGAATTTCATGGCGAGAGAAGATTCTTAGGGAGGATCTAAAGAATTCTAGGTGAAAAATGTGCCGTAAAAATCATTCTCGTGCTCCTAACACAATTGCCTGAAAAGTTAGAGCGCTTATAAGAAAACGACCGACGGAGGAGCAAGCGAGTCTGGTAGCAAAAGAAAAAGCTTCCGCTATAGCGTTCGCTTAAGATTAGCTGATTGCGTGGAGTAAAACTAAACTTTTTTATCAATAAATTGGTTCTCTTGAGAGCTAAGTCCCGTCCAATTTTACAAAATAATGGCAACCTCAGGATCTTGAACTCCCTGCCTAGGGGTAAAGATTTGTAAATAGATTCTAATATCAAATTGCATTCAACGATTTTCGCATTGTCTCGCTGTAAACATTTCTGTGATTTTGCAAATATACTATTCTATATTTGAATGCCACTAATCATCAAATTTCTCGCATATTTAAAATGCAAAACAGAGCTATTAGTATTACCACTTACACTATGCTATTACCCAATGTTTTCGCTCCGACAGGAATCCTATAAACCTTATTTAAAACCAGGTGTCAAATTCTTGACAGAATAGCTTCCTAGCTGAAACCAAAAATTGCCAACATATGTACGCACTTACAGACGGGAAAAATTTATTCTTTAAAAGTTTAAAATGATCTAAAACGTCAACATTTGATTTTAGGTTGCTATTTGAAAAAAAAAGTTCGATGCCGTTACGGCGCTCCAAAATTTTTTTTCAAAAATCCGGCCCGTTATTTTTCTGTTCGGTATACCTAAAACATATATACAAAATTTCAACAAAATCCATCGAGCCGTTTTCTCAGAAAATTGCCAACAAACGTACGTTCGTGTACGTACGTACATACAGACGGAAAAAAATTTTATTCTTTAAAAGTTGTTTAAAATGGTCTAAAACGTCGACATTTGATGAAATTTTGAAATGTTCAAAAAACGGCTATCGCAATAGCTACCTAGCACATGCTAGGAAGCGAAAAATTTCAGATGCCATCTGTATATTCATTCATTTTATGTATTAGAATCTTTATGTTTAGTAATCAAAAACAAAAAATTCGTTAAGCCGCTTGTGAGCAAGAGGTGAAGAGTGCCCTTTCAAATTTGTTTCTTCGATTTTAATAGCGCTTATGGCATTAACGATAATACAAACATGAAATAATTTTTAATTTCTGATCGAATGAGACCAATATCAAGTCTGTAAGTGGTGCAGTTCCGGAGCCTTTGTGACTCATACAGACGGACATCAAGAGCGCAAAAATGCACTTTTTATTTTTTGACAGTGAAAGTGCACTAAAAAGTACCTACTTGTATTTTCATTAAATTCGAGAACAAAAAAAACTTTTTTATTGTTAGATCAGAAAGTGCATAACTCATCCTACCTGCAGATGGGTGTAAGATTTTATGTCCTTCCGTAGGAAAACAATATTCTAGTCAATTTATGATATGAGGATCCCACTCGTTAGTAGCATTCTAAATTCTTCCCTCTTTACTATAATTACCAACGGGTCGTTCTATGCCTGAGTCACAAGAGCTACACATATTCAGAGGATAAAGATATGTTGGTTACCTATATAAGAAATAATTTTGTTGATGTTACAGCCCAAATCCCACTTTCGCTTATGACTGCGGGCATAAAAAATAATTTGAGCAAAAGGTCGATATTTTATGATTTTAAATTTCCTGCTCACTTTCCACAGATTCGTACTAGCTGTTATTGCCATTTCTACAAAAATGAGTCTTTTTTGTCGCTTTAATGTTGTAAGTTATTAAACTTTTATGCATAATGCAAAAATGTTGTAATTATTGTAACCACAGGGCACAGTGTAATTATTAACCATTGGAAAAATGTGTGGAATTTGCGGTCGAAATATTCACTACGCCGCATAAAATTATGCATTCTAGGAACATATAGAAAATAGGGCAGAATATGGACAGAGGATAGGTGATTCATACAAATCCTTGTGAGTAAAACTAAGCAGTGATCTCCGTGATTGAAAGAGTCGCTTGGGGCCGCGTAAATGCGCCTGCAAATCTAAAATCTACAAATCCGAGTCGCGACAATTGGACCTGTTTTCATTTTATTTTCGTTTTCCCCTATAAAGCGTTATTCCCTCGATATAATCGTATTATCTTATACTGCCCTTCTTTAGCTCGATAAAACGAAAAAACTATCGGAGGTGATCATAATGCGACCGCAATAATAGTAGGTGCTGCGTACCGGACGCTAGGGACCCTTACCAGTAAATTGGTCCAAAGAATTGTTTCTGTCGGCAACGCGTCTGCTCAATTTACGGTATTTGTGAGGGGCAGCGTGTGAAAACAAAATTAAGTCGAACTTTTGGTAAAATTGAGCGAAATTGGTCGACGTTAGTTCAACCGTCGTTTTAGTCCGTGGAGAGTTACCCCTCGACGGACGATTATTAGGTTATCGGCATCCTCTCTCGCCGCTCTATACCTGGCGACACCTTGTAAGTTCCCTAGAGACCACGGACGAAGCCTTTTATCTTCTCATGTGTGCATCGCAAGCAATAGCTTCCCCTTACCGATTGGATTTCCAAATGGACCACGTCCGGGTAGCGGTAAAAGCAAGACACTCGCCGGAGTGCTGACTGGCAGCCGCGGATGGAGCTTTATGGTCCACGATACGTGTGGCGAGCTGGTGACGTGTCGTACTAACGACTGTTCCCTAGAGGCTTCCATTCCCAGTGATCATATTGTTTCGACCTTCATCTTCAAATTTCATTATCGTAAAACATTGACCTGTCCATTATTCACTCAAATTTCACAAATGCCTCTAGTAGACTTTTCACCTTTTAGAACCGAATTCTGGGGTGTGCGACTTTAATGGTAAACAAGAAAGCTAATTGCACAAGTAGATCCGATTTCGTTCAGCTTTGTTTGAGTGACATTCTCATGATTAGATTTCAGGTACGAGTCGAATAAAGGATCATAAAATCGGTCCTTCTTCATCAACGTTAGTTTCCTCGATGCTATTCCCCACTTACCGCAGGACATTTCAGTTTAGGAACGTCTAATCATCATCTTCGGCGCACTAACCTCTGGCCTCTGCTACTTTTCACTTTTATTCATCCTCAGGGAGCGGTGTCCAACTCGCCTTGCCCCGATTCCGAAGCTTTTCATTCTCAACTTGTCCCTTTGGGAGCTCTGATTTCAATACGACCCACTCTTTATTATTTCAAGCTTTCACGATAGCAAACAGCATTTACACTTATTTAGCGTCAATTTATTTAAGGCGTAAACTCTTAAACGCACACTTATATTGTCTTATAAATTACTAAACGACCTTTATTTTTGTTACAGCATACTCGAGTTGAGAAAAGAGAAAAGCAGGGACGCCGCCAGATCGAGAAGAGGGAAAGAAAATTTTGAATTCTATGAACTCGCAAAAATGTTACCTCTGCCGGCTGCGATTACGTCTCAATTAGACAAGGCTAGCATAATCAGACTAACAATATCGTACCTGAAACTTCGTGATTTTTCCGGTCACGGCGATCCCCCATGGAATCGAGACGGACCTCCGCCAAACAAATCTATTAAAAGTAAGGTACTATTTAATGAATCTCACGCAAACGTGTCGATGGGTTCGATGTCACCGCAATTTGAAATTCAATTGCTATTTATTTGGTAATTATACATTCTGTAGATGTCACGAGAAGGCTTACATTTCGTATGTGAGACTCAAAATGGAATTCAGGCAGCCAAAACCGTTAGATCTATACAGTTAGAGCGAACTGAGCAATTCATTTCTCCAACTTGTTAGTATAAAATCCCAACTTTGGTTTCGGTACAACCCGCGTTAAAAGATACGAAAACGGAGATTATTTTTAATTTTTTTTAACTTTGTACAGTTTTATGCTGGTAATATAAGGTTAAGCTTAAGACAGTGACACTGTCCTGAATCTCAATTTACGATTCTGGAATACTAAACTAGGCAGCCATCTTGCCCCTGTGTGCTTTGCATTACAGCCATTTGCTGGTGATACGTGCTCTTGAATTGTAATTTTCTAACATGCCCAATCTCTTTAACTTTTAAGCTATATTTCTTTAGCTAGAAAGAGAAAGCTCCCTTGGTTAGCATTTAATTGTTCACTATTTTCTCGGAATATCGAAGAGGGCAACCCAAATCGTTAGTTACAAAAACAAAAAAGAACGTAAACACACACGCACTTGACGAGGGCGGGTGACATACATATTTGGTTTGATTGAAACTATGTCATCACCAAAGGGGCTCCTGACGAGCACGAAATGTCCCCCGAACTACAACATGTAAATCTAATCATGAACCCTCGCTGTTCAACTAGCAAATCCAATTCTATTCCCGCCCGAGAATGATAAAATTAGGTGGTGCTTATTGTAAACCAAACTTGGAAAATTTACAGCCGTAATTCGTGTACTTGCGGCGGTGAGGGTTCTAAGTGAAATAATTATGCAAAATTAGTCTGCGCTTGAACATTCTTAGTTATACAGCCTTAATGAATTGACATCGATCTAGAGGGTTAGGGGCTTTGTTTTAGATTTCAAATGAGATTCGAATTACGCAGATTTCCTTTAACCACATACCCCTCTTTATCCTAAACAGTTCCGCAAATACGCCACATATACATAGGTATTCGCCAATCGAGGCATGGGGCAATTTTCATTAGATATACACTAACCTAATTTTCCCAAGCCGATTTTAATTTTAAATTCTGAATTGATTCAATTTCGCTACGTTCCTTCACTCGGCCAATAATTTTGCCATGTCGTTCGTCGTCATTTCCAAAAATTCCTCCACAATATGCTACCTACCTAATATTTGCAAAGGAAAAGTAGAGAGACTATCTGTTGATCAGATCAAAATAAATTTTGGATGGTTTTTGCATAATAAGTTTGTACGTTATTCCCTTTCCGCCTTTGAGCGAAAGATATTCAAAAGATGTATAAGAATATACTGTTTTGGACTTTCAGATACAAATAAAATTAACTAAAAATACAAATAATTCAAAGGTGTGCATAAATATTCTGTGTGTTTTCAGTGTCAAGGTAATAGTTTTTTAAGCGATAGTCAACGCTACAATGTATTATTCATACTATTATAGAATACAATTTTATTTTATATACCCTTAGGTATCTATATTACCTACTTTCATTTTAAAGTAAAAGGAAAAGCACTGCTTCTGGTCCGAGTCGCTAAACCATATTTTTCACTTGGCGCCACGTATAGGTACCGGGCGAATATTCCAAAACCGAACACAGAAAATTTTGAAAATTAACAAAAACTTGTTTCTTTTTTAAATCTAGTGCGAAGAATCTAAAAATGAAATATATTTTGACCTGCGGGGCCATTGTGTGCTCTCAACAGCAGAGCTGGGCAGAATACTTTCAAAAAGTATTTGAATACTAAATAGTAAATACTTTACACAAATCAACGGTATTTGAATACTAAATACTTTTACGTCCAGCACAAGCGAATAGTAGATACAGATACATTGAAAAGTATTCAATTACTTTAGAATGTATTCGAATACTTTCAAAGGTATTCGAATACTATATAAAAAGTATTCAAATACTTGTCACTCAAATATATTAAAAATTTAAAAATAAAATTTCTTATAGAATGTGGCCTGTAAAATCCATAATTTCAAACAGTTCCAAGGTTGGGCTACTAGTTCAAAAGTTAGAGCCCTTTGAATTTTCTTTCGAAATTGGTTTCTAGTCCATAACTTTTGATTGAGAAGTCTGATCGAAAAAGTACGAATTGTTTTGGATTCTACGCACCAAAAGTAATAAGAAAAAGTGTTTTCCCGAGAAATTTTGGTGTGTCGATTTTTGGTAAAAAAGGAAGGTTATACACTGCCTTTTTTGAGGCCCGAAAAAAAAATTGTCTCAGATCGACCCGGAAAAAAAATTTCTTATAGAATGTGGCCTGTAGAATCCATAATTTCAAACAGTTCCGAAGATTGGGCTACTAGTTCAAAAGTTACAGCCCTTTGAATTTTTTTTCGAAATTGGTTTCTAGTCTATAACTTTTGATTGAGAAGTTTGATCGAAAAAGTAGTACGAATTGTTTTGGATTCTACGCACCAAAATTAATAAGAAAGAGTGTTTTCCCGAGAAATTTTGATGTAGTCGATTTTTGGTAAAAAAGGAAGGTTAAGTATTCAAATACTATGCGAAGTATTTCCATAAAAGTATTTAATTACAAAGTATTTGAATACTTTAAAGGATTTGAATACTAAAAAGTATTTACAAAATCGAATACTGCCCAGCTCTGCTCAAGAGCTTATTTGTTTAGATATCGCCCGTAGAAGACCGCTTGTAGACTTAGACGAGGAGTGTACGTCTACCTACCAAGGTCGTGTAATCGGTGTAATGAACAACTTTAGGGACGAGGTTACGAAGATAGCTGGGCGCCATCCCCGAGGGTGGTTTATTACCTTGGTGATTTTGTTTTTTTTTTCTCTAGGGGCGAAATTAACCACCTTTTGCAAGGCGTGCGTCTTCGAGGGATAGTCGGCTAGAGATGCCCAAAAGTAACCTTCCGCTGCAAATTTTGTCACGCGGTTTAAATTAAAGTCTATTAAAACTGGAATCACGGTCTATCTTTCTCGTGTCGCCAATAGAAGCTCGAGCTATGAGAAGTGCTACGAAAATTAAGTACTATTTTGTGGAGGGTTTTAGTGAAATCCATCAAAATGGCGCATTATGTGATTGTGGGGTACCGGCAAAGGAAATGTGGTAACACCGGACAACATTTTACTGATGGGGATGTCAAAACTTCAAAAAATTTGCGACTTTCTTTTTACTAATAAAATACTGATCTGCCACACAAAAATTCGCGAAACTCCCTTCGATCTCGTACGAAGACTTTAATAATTTTTTCCTTACACGAAGCAAGCATTAGAACTTGTAGTGTAAAAATTCTCCAGGAATCGAACAGCCGCAACGCAACGAAAAACGGTTTCAGGAAAACTCTTAAGTCAGTACCCTTAAGAAAACTTGCTGTTGGAGTAGGTGCTCTTAATAAGGAATTCTTTCAAGGGATGCGTTTACATATGAGATGTTTTATGAGATTTACATGTTCGTGGGCGAATTAAATTTTCTTACAGGGAAAATATTTCGAGACTGCACCGTTTTGTTTAAATATGCGTAATTAAAAATATAGCGTTGCAGTCAACTGTCGGCTACCAACTTTATTAATTTAATTTACTTGTCTAAATTTTACTTGGAATTGGTTAAATCGATAAATAACCAAAACAGTTCTTATTTTAAACATAGGATTAACGCTACATACTTCTTGGCAAATATGTTGAACCCTCGTGTAACTCAGTTACCCCAAAGGTCTTTTTTTAGCATAATTTCGTAAAACTTTTATTTTCACGTACGATGCTTTAGCTAATCCTCAAATATACATGGCATATTGAGTACATTTATCTAATTTAAATTTGTTACAATTAAGCATTTTGTGATTGGGGTGAAAGAGATACCCCGCTTGGTCTCATACATAAAATTTTGCCCAATTAAAGTGAGTCGGAAATAGTCGAAATAGATCTCATCGAAAGGAATTGGTTTCTATATATCTCCGCGATCCCTTTTTGATATCAGTGAGTGGCGGCGGGAGGTGGGGAAATTGGTTTTATCGTCCAAGGTATTCTAAATAAATGTGGAAAGGAGCTGTTTTTTTTAACAACTTCCCCTTCTCCCTTACCACTTATCAACAACCGACTTTGACTTTAATCCTTATGGTACTCTCAAAAGGTGGAGTGTCAGGGGAAGGTATTTACACGGGGACAAATATAGCATGCCAATAAATCAAGGGTCCAAAACGTTTCGTTTGGGGCCCCTAAAAGATTTTTTTTTTATTTTTTCAACGAACATACTAGTAAAAGACCTTAGTTAGCATTTTTCCTACTTACCCCTAAGATATCGGGAAAAATTCTGTCCTTGGCGATTATAAAACAAACTAGTATACGTGGACCCTGTAACAAAAATCAAACAATAAAATAAAATATATAAAATACCCCAAAAATTACAGCCCTCATAATTAATGAATCATTGCCTAAAAATGCGTTTTATAAAAAAATTTAATTTTCGAAAAGGAGAAACCTTCATATGTAAGTATTCAAAGGGTGGCTTGTGGCCGTTGTAAACAAACTCAAAAATATTTGAAGTACCAACAACTGCGCTCTCATAATAGACAAATCATTATGGAAAAGTGAGTGTTCATCTAAAAAATTGCAATTTGTGAAACAAGTAAGAGCTACACTTTTATGTGTATATGAAATAAGTTAATAAAGGGTGGCTCTCTAAAATAAAATGTTACAGAGACCCACTACAGCTCCCAATGGTTTCAAACACTTCTACAAGGCTATTTACCTACATCTCTTTTGAGGCTGTTGGAAGTCCCAAACTGCTTTTAAATACCTTTAAGATCTCTTAAATGCTTTATGAGACACATATCTTAAATGTTATTAATGCGTGTCGAGCTTATGAAGGTTTAAACGCCAAATAAAGCTCTCAAATCATTTAATACTCTTGAAGGCTCTTGAAAGCCATTGTA